CTCCATTGATGAAGCTTTGTTGAATTTCCTTTTTTTTTCTTTTTTTTGGAAAACTAGAAATTTGAAAATGTGGGAGAAACAATATATACAAATTTTACTTCCACATTGTTGAGCAAGAGATTGTGATGCAAGCCACACCTTGTAGTAGTTCAAGGTTTGGATGAACCATATAAATTGAATTTCCTTCGAACAGTCTTGATCAAGAGTGTGTGTAGCTTTCTATGAGTTGTAGTTGCCCTTTATTGATGAAGCTTTTGTTGACACCATAAATTAGTTTTGCTTCACACTGTCTTGATCAAGAGTGCGTGAAGCTTTTGAGAATTGTGGTTGCCATCCATTGATGAAGCTCTTGTTGGCACCATAAATTGGTTTTGCTTCACATTGTCTTGATCAAGAGTGTGTGAAGCTTTTGAGAATTTTGGTTGAACTTCTTTGATGAAGCTCTTGTTGGCACCATAAATTAGTTTTGCTTCACACTGTCTTGATCAAGAGTGTGTGAAGATTTCTACGAGTTCCAGTGTTTGCATTGTTACAGAGGAGAAATGTCTGAAGCAGATGCAAGATGGCTGAATAGCTTGATCTTTGTATGCCATGCACTGAAGTTGTTGTTGGCTTGCAATAAGACTTGATGGTGACTATAACTTTTGTTGGGCATAAGTGCTCCCCTAGTTGAGTTGTGAAGCTTGAAGGTTTTTTATTATTTATGAATGTTAGGAGTTCACGCTTTTGAGTTTTTCAACTTCTGCCTTCATTGCTTCGTATCCTTCAGGGTCATAAGATCTTCGCTTTTGTCTCACCGGCTTGGTCTTGGGGTCAATACTCAAGCGATGACATATGATATCGGGAGAGATGCCTGGCATGTCCTCGTATGACCAGGCGAAGACCTCAATGTTCTCTTGCAAAAAAGAGATTAATGCCAACCGAATGGGTGGTGACAAGATAGTGCCAATCTTCACCATGCGATATGGATAATCTTTTGATATAGAAACCTTCTCCAGCTCTTCAGTGGGTTGTACTTGATGGGTGAAAGAGTCATCTCGAGGATCGTCGGGTTGACTGTTGCCACTGTGAAGATCCAAGTTGGCTTCGTCCGGGCTGGTCTTTATGACTTGGTCATGTATAGAAAAGGTTTCCTTGGGCACAGACAGGTGTTGTTGCTTGACCAAAGTGTTGTAACATGATCATGCACTAAGTTGATCTCCTCTGATGTAACCATTGTCATAGGGGGTTGGAAATTTCATCAACAACATATGTGTAGATACCATGGCCTTGAGATCATTGATGCCTGTGCGTCCAAAGATGACATTATATGCCGTTGGGCAATCAACTACTAGGAAGTTAGTGGTAATGGTAGCTATGTAAGGGCCTGTACCAATGGTGAAAGGTAAGTGTATGCTTCTTATAGGTTGCACGATATCACCGAAGAAGCTTATTAGAGGAGAAATCGAGCGATCGAGCAAGTGTTCAGCTACATTAAGTGCCCTGAAAGCTTCAACAAACATGATATTGACTGAATCCTCTGTGTCTACCAGGATTCGTCTTACTTCAAAGTTGGCTATGTGAGCCTGTACGATCAGTGGGTCGTTGTGAGGGTAGATGATACATCTTTCTTCCTCATGGTAGAAACATATTGGATCCCAGTTAGGCTTTTGATACTTGCCCCTCTGATGTCTTCCACGTGAAACACTTAGTGGCCAGGCCTTAAAGCTCGTTCGCTGTTTTTCATGGCCATAATGGAAGATTCAGATATAGGTGTGCCGCCGCTTATGGAATATATCACATTCACTTGGTGTTGGTTACGGTTATCTCTTGAAGGGTGAATGAGGAATCGATCAATTTTTCGTTCAAGCGCCAAAGCTTCAATATGATCATGAAAGGTGATACACTTCTTGCCGTCATGGCCGTTATGTTCGTGGTAGCAGCAAAACGTGCCTGTGTTCTTCGTGGGCTTGTAACCCGACTGCCTTGGCATTGGCTTCGGTATCAGGTGTGCTATGCTGGGGTAAATGGCCATGCATGTGGCGTTCAAAGGCGTGTATGTCTCATACCTCGGGGTAGGGCCTGTCCTGACACGTTCTTGGCCCACTGTGTTGATTGTTTGGGGGCGGGCATTATCGTGGCGATACCCTTGGTTATCATGATAGTGTCCCTTACTCCTTTTACTAAAATGAGACTGGTGAGGATGGAAGTCTTTCCTTTTGCCCTGAGATTGATATGTCTGTTGACTTGGCGAAGTATTAAGTAAGGCGGGAGGAGGCATCGCTATCGTTTGGAAGGTCGATGTCTTCTCATTTGGTTGGATTTGTCTTTCATTCCCTACTTGCTGATAAGGGGTGGCTGTGGGGGTTTCCCTTGATATGTCCTTGCCTCAGTGGAGGCATGGTTGTAAGCTTGTGCCATCACCTCAGAGTAAGTCTTCCAAGTGTTGGCATTGATCATGTACTTGAAGAAATAGTCACGTAGGCCTGCCGTGATGGCTTTGAGGGCAGTTTTGTCGTCTGCCTTGGCACAACGGGAATACTCATGGCTGAAGCGGCCAACATACATACATAATGACTTGTCTGGCTTCTGTCGAATAATGTACAAGTCATCCGCAGAGTGCAAGCGATCGGTCTGGAAAATGTGTTGAGAAACAAACAGTTTCCTCAATTCCTCAAATGAGTCTACCGTCTCAGGTGGAAGACAACAATACCAGTTTAGAGCTCCGCCAGAGAGGGTGGAGGGGAAGAGAAGATATCGCTCTTTGTCGGTGTGCATTCGGTATGCCATGGTGGACTTAAAGAAGTTAAGGTGTTTAATCGGGTCTTCCTTTCCAGTATAGAGTTGCAAGCCAAGCTTGTGTTTTGTCTTTGCTTGGAGATGGGTGTCGAGGATCTTCCTTGTAAGAGGGCCAGGCCTAGGTTGGTTCCAATCAGGTATCTCAGCTTGTCGTTCGACCTTTAACTTGTTTACTTCCTTAAAGAGCTGTAGGACAAGAAGGTCCTGAGTGGAGTCATGTACCACTGGAGCTTTCTTTCGTAAATCTTCATCTCCTCTTGGAAGTAGGAAGGCTTGATCAAGAGCATGTGATTTTTCCCTGGACTCATCGCACTGACTTCCAAGGTATGTCTGTTGGAAGATTTCTGAGTCCCCTATACCTTCGTGTTTCTCTAGAACTTGTTGTCCCTTCCCCAAATTGGTAGCCGGTCTGGGACATGGGAGGGGACCGAGTCTTTCAGAGACCCTTGGGTCATTGATCTTCGATCTTACATGGATGAGATTGTCTCGACGTTGCTTTAGGAAGTCTCGACAGTCATGAAAGACGGCTTTCGATCCTTCCACTTCTTCTGTAAGGAGGTGCCTTCCTCCACTCCTCCTGTTTCGGGTTGAAGTAGTTGGGTTGAGAGAAGTCTTATATTGGTCGCCATTTCGATGACGAGCTCGCTCCTCAACAGGAATACCTAGGTCGAGGGCAAATGACCCTCCGTGTTGAGGGCACCCAATTAATGGTTGACTTCCACAGGGGTGATGAGCTCGTGTGTTTTAGTATATCTAGCCTCATGGAGCATCTCGAAGACCTTCTCATACTGCTCTTGGAGGATCTCATTCTTCATCGCTATCTTGTTGTTCTGAGCCTTCAGCTCATCGACTTTAACCTGAAGAGCAAACTTCTTTTGTTCCTTTTTTCGTTGCTTCGCACTAGGTGCAAAAAGGGTGTCATTCTGTGTGCTGTGGCTTCCTTCGCTCCTCATGTTGGAAAGGGACGTCTGGTCAAAAGAGAGTGTACGAATGGTGGAAACCAGCTTAACAAAGCTGAAAAGAGTGGGAATAAGTGTCGTTCCCACAGACGGCACCAAATGTTGATGCACAAAATCAATGAGGACTTTGGTACAACAGAAAATGTTAAGTTTGTGACCTTCGCTAGATTGCTCCGATCACTAGTGTGGATAAGTATGTAAATGGATAGAGACAGAGAAGCAAACACAAGATGTATGTGGTTCACCCAGATTGGCTACGTCCACGGAGTAGAGGAGTTCTTATTAATTGTGAAGGGTTTACACAAGTACATAGGTTCAAGCTCTCCTTTAGTGAGTACAAGTGAATGATTTAGTACAAATGACATTCGGAAATATTGTGGGAGAATGATCTCCTTTTATAGAAGAGAGTTTCTAGCTTTGTTTTGACATTGACACTTGTCGTGTTATGATTGGCTTCTGATGTTGACATGTGTCGTGTTATGATTGGCTTCTGAAGTCGACACGTGTCGTGCTGTGATTGGCCTCCTGGTTGGAGGGAAACTCTTATGGGTCCTTGATGGTATAACGTTGACCGGTGTTTAGTAGTTTCGGGATTGATCAAGTATGGTACAAACAAACAATATATCCCTCCGTGCCTTATCTTCCTCCCGATGTTTAGTATAAGTCAATCAGTTTGCCAGGGTTAGTCATGTAACGGTCCTTTGGCAGTTAACAATTAATATAAAATACAAATCAATCAATTATTAAAAATCTGTTTACCATTTTTTCAGTTGGATGCCTGTTATGTTTTTCATCTCTTAAATGGAAGTGTTCGTAGTATAATTGAAAAAATAGAACAATATATCAAACTGTTTATGGTTAGTTCGGTCACTTGGGTACGTATATGAAGCCGTTGTACTGAATAAGACTAACAAATATCTCGTTACACATAATTAATGAAAAAAAAAGAGAAATAAAACCGTATAGAAGAGAGGAGCGAGGATGACCAATGATGTTCAACTATACAAAAAACGACCCAATAAAAACAACTATACTAGAAATGACTACGTAAATAGCCCAACAATTTTACAGCGTGCATTACGTACACCATAAACCACTTTATCAACCTTTAGTTTTCTTTGGGAGCCTTCCCTTTCCTCCATCCCTAGCCATTGCGACTTGCAAGAAAGTTTGTATTGTATATATATCACGGTTTCTCTCTGAGATGGGGGCCTTAATTTCTCTTTAGGTAAAGGCCACAGGGATTAGAGAAGTAAATACTAAATGGCTTTTAAGTTGAATGGGACAATTGGTGGGGAAGATTTTGTAATAACCAGTAACACAAAAAATTTAATTGAGGTATGCTTCAATAAAACGATATCCCCAACAGGACTATGGCGAGCACAGAACCCCTTCATGTCAGCTCTTTCAGTTCTTGTTATAAGACTGAGCATCGCGGTCTTCAGCACTCGTATTTTTATGCTTGTCTTCAAACCCTTGCACCAACCACGGATTATTGCTGAGATTCTTGTAAGTAGTACATCCTTCCTGATTCCTCTCTTGTTATTTTTTCCTTCACCTCGGTTGTTATTATTAAATTAAAACTTGCAAGTAGTGCATCCTTTTTACACTTTTTTTTTTTTTTGGAAAAGGGACTTTGACATATAAGCCCTTTATAAAATTTAACTCTCAAAACTTGTAGTCAACTTATACTTGCAAAATCCCAAAAAAAAAAATGATGTATCAAAATAGTTTTAATATTAGGACTTGATTGAGTCAATCAACATTATATGAATTTAAGGACAGATGAATCAAGGGAAATATTAGCAAGTGGTATTGATGTTAGTTGGAGAGCAAAATTGTTTTTATTAACTTAGTTGAAGAGGATAATTGTTGTTACTGATTCTTGTAATAATATAGTTGGTTGGAAACTAAAAAAAAAAAAATATTCAACCAATTATATTATGATACTTAGTATACAGAGCAATTGTTCGTGGCTCCACACAGTGAGGTGTGTATAAAAGAGTGGTCGATTTGTGTTATAAGGTTTAGAAATAAAATTCATTTTGCACGTCAAGAAGTGCCATTTCTCGCCTATATATGTTTTTATTTGGAGGCTTGCATGATGACTTTATCATGGAGATCCAATAATACATGGGCTTCTTCTTTTTTATTGCAAAATAATTGTTATTAGCATTGTGCATTACAAATCGAAATTTTCAGGGTGGAATGTCGACGAGTACGAGTAATTGGGGTAAAGTTGTACCAGCCGTATTTCCTTATAGTACCGTGAAGATTATCGAGACCATGGGAAACTTGGCCCTCGTTTATCACATGTTCCTGGTGGGTTTAGAGCTTGATTTAAAACCAATATTACGAGCTGGGAAGAAGGCTATTAGCATTGCGCTCGCCGGCATTATCTTTTCCGTCCTTGTTGGCTGGGCCTTATGTCGATATGTACTCCTCAAAGATTTTGCCGAACAAACAAAAGGCAATGGAGGAAAACTTCCTACTAAGGATGGCCCGTGGTTTTGGGGCGTTGCTCTTGCCACCACTAACTTCCCAGACCTTGCCCGAATCCTCGCAGACCTCAAACTTCTCTACTCTGATGTCGGAGGACTTGCGTTATCTGCCTCTGTTATCTCCGACTTATGCTCCTGGTTTCTTCTTCTGCTTGTAATGGCCATAGTCAACAGCTTCCAGACAGTTGCGGTGGGACTTACCTTGCTTTTTATAGGACTATGCGTTTTTGTAGTACATCCTCTTCTGTCATGGATTGTTAACCGAGTTCGCGAAAGAGCACAAGAGGATGGCGACTACAGTCAATTTGAATGCTTTGTTCTAGCTGGGGTTGTGCTTTGTGGGTACATTACCGATGCATGTGGATCCCATTCCATCGTAGGGTCTTTTATGTTTGGAGCTATCATGCCTAGAGGAGAGGTTTCAAACAATCTTAAAAAGAAGGTGGGAAGTTTTGTGCCTGGGATTCTAATGCCTCTCTACTTCTGTATCAATGGGGGAAGACTCAACTACGTGGATATTCTCAGTTCCATTTATCCATCGGAGAAAAAAACTGGGACGGATATATATCGCGTAGGGGGGGTTGTCATATTAGCTTTTGCAGCTAAGACTGTGAGCACTTTGGTTGCCGGCTTACTCAACAAAATGTCATTTCGGGATAGTTTGGCTCTTGGAGTGCTCATGAACACCAAGGGCTTATTTACACTTATCATACTCAACACTGGTCGGGACGTAAAGGTAATATATGATTTTGGGTAATGCTAGGGAGACTAAATTTGTAGACAAAGTTTTGGAAACTAAAGGACATGGAAGTTGATGATTAGTTTATTACTTAAACGTTAATAAACGTCCTCATTTCTATTGGTGACATATCATTTAGTTTGCAAATTTTTTCTTCAAATTTAGTCTCTTAAGCATTACCTCATGTATGCATGTGTGACTAGCTACGTTATGCAGATAAAACTATTGATTCATCTGTCCACTTTATCTTTTTTTTTTTTTTTTTTTTTTAAATTAACTATTAAATTTTAATTTTTTTTTAAATTAAGAAGTGAAGTAGCGCTAAATAAAACATAAATTGCTGCCTGTGAAATGTTAATAAGAAAAATTATTTTGGAGATGTAACTTAGGTATTGCCTACTTCAAATTATTCCCTAAATTATTCATACATGACATTGATTTTTAGTACAACACGCACGTACGTATTGTTTTTGAATAATTTATGAACGAATGACTATTTAATATGTGGTATTTGTATATATATGTACACGTCCAGGCGTTGAACAAACAAACCTTCGGAGTAATGGTGTGGGCAATTTTGGTAATGACATTTGCAGTTGGCCCGCTTTTAGTCTTCCTATACAAGTCCAATGCCAGGCCTTTTGTGCGATACAAACAGAGAAACGTAGCAAGCGTAGGATCAAACGACGAGCTTCGAATCCTTGCATGTGCTCACAACTCACGCAATGTGTCAGGCATTATCAATCTCCTTGAGGCTTCTAATGCAACCAAAAACTCCCCTCTTCATGTTCTTGCTGTCCACCTTGTGGAACTAACCGGGCATGCTTCGGCGATGTTGGTAGTGCACGGTGCTTGTAAGACCAATGATGTACACTTTCCCTACAACTCGTCGTCCCCCTCAAGTGGCTTTGAAACATATGCCAAACATAGAGAAAATGTCACTGTGCAAACACTCACGGCAGTGTCTCAATACTCCACGATGCACCGGGACATATGCAACCTGGCCGAGGAGAACCGTGTTGCCATAATCATCATCCCGTTCCACAAGAAATCCACCATATTGGTTGGAGGAGTGACACCAGATCCAAACAACTCACATCTAAGGAGGCTCAACAACAACTTGATCGCAAATGCGCAGTGCTCTGTGGGTGTTCTTGTGGATCGAGGCCTTGGTGCATTCAACTACTCTTACCCTCAATGCCGCTATTCCATGCTCTTCTTTGGAGGGGTAGATGACCGCGAGGCATTAGCGTATGTCGGTCGGATGGCTGGACATCCCAAGGTTAACCTAACAGTCATATCGTTTAATATTATGAGTGAAAATGAAGCAAAAGCGTGCTCTAATGATAATGATGATCGTACTGATGGGTTTCTGAAGGCACTGGCAAGCATTGGGAGGGAAAAAAAACTGGACGAGTTGTTCTTGGATGAGTTTAGGCTGAGGTCAATGAATGATGCCTCCATAAAATTTGTAGAGAATTGGGTGACGAGTTGGGAACAAATTCTCTCGCTAATACAATCCACGGAAGGTGAATATGATATGTTCATAGTGGGTAGAAGACATGGAGAAATGCAAGAGGCCATCAGCACAACGTTGCTGGATGACGATGACTCTAATGACATTGGAGTTCTTGGAGATGCATTGGTATCTTCAACCTTCACAGCTAGTACATCCATTCTAATTGTGCAACAAGGTAGCCATTTGGATTATAAATGAGGGAGAAAATGGAATATCTTGGAATAGTTTGTGTTGGAGAATTAGGAAATAAAAAGGGGTACTTTGATCCAGATAAAAAAAAATTCTACTTTTCAACTTTAATTAAATTTCTTAATTTATCAATTTTTACTCAAATTTTTAATTTGAATATTTAAATGAAAAATTCTAACCACTTTCATGGAAAATAGTTAAAAGGCACTTTCATGGAAAATAGTTAAAAGGAAATTTATATGTCATCATATATGATACATATACCATAGATTGATAAAATACATTTAACTTGTGATAAAGGTATCTACAAAATAAAAAGAAATTAATCTACCTATCATCCATGAAAATAGATCCAAGAAATTTCATCTTCCATACAATTATAATCAATATTAGTATATATGCTCATATATAGTACGTACAACAAACATTAGTTACCGCAGTTAACATGTGATGGAGGTGGACGAAAAATTGAGATACAAACTAGGAGTAGGAAAAAGGGGAACAATATTTAATCTTAAAATTGAGTAAAAGATGAACTATAAATAAGAGATGACATTTATCACAATGTAATAAAAAGATAAACAACAGTCACTCAGTACTAAGATTTAGTGGTATCTCTCCTCACTTATAAGTGAGAGGTCTTAGGTTCGATTCTCGTGAAAGATAAATTTAAACCACATTATTGCTAGCCCGTTTTGATGCTTAGCCCACTCCTCACCCCTTGAAGTAAAAAATAAGGATTGGTGTAGAAAAAAAGGGGGCAGCCGCGGTTGAACTCTAATTCTAGAAAAAAGTCGTGCCCCTTTTCCAAGTGATAATATCGTTTGTTAAAAAAAATAATTTAAAAAGATGACAACAAAAAAGCTAACATGAATAATCAGTGAATGGACCTAACCCAATTATCTAATTAGACTTGTATTTTGTTATGCATAGCTTCCACTTCTGTTGTACCTTGAGAACAATTAATTGTAAAGTAAAGTAATTAAATGTTTGATAAATTGTATTTTACAATTTACATGTATTGTCATACATGAACACACACACACACACACTTAGACCCTAAAATTTATGTTTAACATGCGAAATGTCGTAAAAGATTTCATTTAGTGTTCATATAAAAGATTTCATTTCCTTCTTCCTCGCATCATAGACTCATCGTTATTACCATCGAAGTACGGTCTATGAGGAATTGAGCCCACAATACAATTCATCTTAGTTGTCCCACATATCTCACTAATTACGTACTGTGACCTGGTGCCAATTGGAAGTTTTAGGATGAATATTAATTAATCTAAAGATGAGTGAATAGGCTATAACTTAAATGAATAAGCCAAATTAAAATTAACAATTAATTAAACATGGTTAAAATCCAACACATCACTAACAAACAGCAAATAAAAAAGTTCACACCAGATGTAGATTTGACGAGACAAAACGTCATCACTGAAGTAATCCTCGGACTACCAAATCAGAATATAAATTAAGAGAAATGAATACAAAATGAACTTACAAAACTTATCTTACTAAACTCACAACTAGGAGGCAGTTTAGAAGACCTGGATGGTAATATGAAGGAATTTCGAACCGTAGCCACAAAAGTCTTGAAGCGAAACACATCTGATTTTCATTTTATTGGGTATATTCATGAATAGCAGGAAAAATTATTGGTAAATAAAACATAATAGTGAAATCGCTAACGAAAGTAACAGGTGACATCCACATAGTATAATGAATTAGAGAAAATAGCAGAATATGAGTTCAGAAGTGGGACGACCATCGATCGTATGTTGGCGGTTGTCACCGTAGCTTTTGCAACTAAGATTGTTTTACTTTCGCCGTCGGGTTAATCAAGAAAGGTCACCTCGAGACAATCTGGCTCTTGGATTATTTGTTGAGAATGAATTCCGTGTTAATGGAAGGATGGATATTGCATAGACTTATAAGTAAGTTGGACTACTTATCATATTGCTTACTGGTTTTATGATGGAACCTCTCAACTTTTTTCATGGTATCAGAGTATGTTGCCCTATGTGAAGTCCAATTAACGAATATATGTGCTCTACGTCACTTGATTTATGTTGTCCCACTCACCTCACATGAGGGGGCGTGATCAGAATGAATCCCACTTTGTTGGAAGAAGAGACTTTGCATAGGTTTCTAAGTAAGTTGAGCTACTCCTTATATTGTCAATTGATTTTTTGGTGGAACCTCAATTTTCTTAACTATTCATGAACACCAAAAGCTTATTGGCACTCATTGTACGTACTCAGTTCTTTTCGAGCCCTAAAGGCTAAAGGTATGTATTTTGTGTTATGCATGCATCTTGTGAGGAAATATTTTATTTAATTTGAACTAGATATATAATTGAACACAATATTTTAGATAAATAATAAAAAACTCACCGCAGTCTCTGCCTATGCCACCATGCACGAGGACATATGCACCTTCGCGGAGAAGAATCAAGTCTCCCTGATGGAACCACAAAGTCCAACTCACTTAAGTTCTCTCTACAACAACTTGATCGCAAATGCTCAATGCTCTCTGTGGCGGGTGTCCTTGTGGATCATGAGCCCAGTAAATCCAACAATATCACCGAGTCCAATTAAGACATCGACAATAACAATGGCGATGGTAATCTTCGAGCAGCAATTATTAAGGGTAGTATTGTAAATCTCAGTTGATATTTTCTGTTAGTTTTCCTAACTGTAATTAGGAAGATTAGTTGTTATTTACTCAAATGATATTCTCTGGTATATATATCAGAATCACAATGTAAACTTATTCATTAAGAAACATAAAAATATATTTTCTCTATCATGGTTTTATCGTCATCTATGTAGCAACCTCCCGATCATAATCGCTTCTGCATCGCCTCTCTTCGGTGCCTATGCACTGTCTCTCTCCAATGTCTTTGTGTTCAAACCCTAACCCTCACCATCATCAATGGCAGCTTCTTCGTCTCCCTCTGCTGATGTCGCCTCCCCCGTCTCGTTTCTGTGCCCTAATGCTTCCAACTCTTCAACTTCCTCAATCACGATTCAGAATGTTTGTACCATATTTGACCAATCCCGAAACTACCGAGCACCGGTCAACGTTATACCGTTAAAGATCCAGAAGAGTTTCCCTCCAACCAGGAGGCCAATCACAGCGCGACACATGTTGACATCAGAAGCCAATCATAGCGCGAAACGTGTCAACATCAGAAGCCAATCACAACACGACATGTGTTAATGTCAAAACAAAGCTAGAAACTCTCTTATATAAAAGGAGATCATTTTCCCACAATATTTCCTAAAGTCATTTGTACTAAATCATTCACTAGTACTCACTAAAGGAGAGCTTGAACCTATGTACTTATGTAAACCCTTCACAATTAATGAGAACTCCTCTACTCCTTGGACGTAGCTAATCTGGGTGAACCACATACATCTTGTGTTTGCTTCCGTGTCTCTATCCATTTACATAATTATCCACACTAGTGACTGGAGCAATCTAGTGAAGGTCACAAACTTGACACTTTCTGTTGTACCAAAGTCCTCACTGATTTTGTGCATCAACACAGAACATTGGTTCTATGGTGCCAATCAAACTCACCACCACCAATTATCTTACATGGAGCGCTCTCTTTGCTCCGATCATCAGGGTATAATCTCACCGGAATAATCGATGACTCTCAGGCTACTCCGCCCAAGTATTTTTGTGTTACATCTGGAAATTCTTTTCTGAATCCGGCATTCATCGCTTGGTATAAGACAAATGAGAATATTCTCATCTAGATTAACTCTACTCTCTCTGATTCTGTGATTCCTTACATTGTTGGTGTGAATTATTCTCGAGAACTCTGGTCCAAACTTGAATCGAGACTTGCAATGGATTCACAGTCTCACATTCATGAACTCTGATCAAGACTTTGTTCTATAACTAAATGTGATTCATTTGCTGCTTCATATCTTCAAAGAATTGAAGAAATTGTTGATGCTTTGGCTAGTGCCAGTGCTCTGGTCGATGATTCTGAACTGATTTATGTAACTCTTCATGGTCTACCTCATGAGTTCGACTCCTTTGTTGATGCGATTCAATTTCGAATTGGATCCACTACTATTGATGAGCTCCATGGCCTCTTGCTAAACAAGGAAATCCAGATCGAAAATTGCAAGAAGACTACATTTGCACCAATTCAGGCATTCAATACATTTGCTAGAATTCTGCCTCTACCTTCTAATCCTCCAATCTCTCAGACCTACATTGCTTAGAGTTTCTCCAACTCCAATTCTCATCAAGGTCGTGGTTCTGATCGAAATTTCTCAAACCCTAGAAATTCTTCAAATCGAGGTAATTTCAGGAATAATACTCAGAGAAACAGTTTCAATCGATCTAACAATCAGAGGTATAATAACAATCATGGCTCCAGATTCAACAACTCTGGTAGAAGAATTACTTGTCAAATCTGCAAGCAATTTGATCATGAAGCTATTAAGTGCCCTCAGCGCCTGAATCCTAACTTTGACACTTCTTCTTAAGCTGCATTCTGTGTCAATACTTCTGCTCCTCAGCACACATGGTTGCTTGATTCTGGTGCATCATCACACATGACAAATTCCTATGCAAAATTGAACAATCCAGAATCATACACTGGACTTAAGCAAGTCTACATTGGAGATGGCAAAGGTTTGCCAATACTTCATCTTGGTTCTTCTAGTGTACCTACTATTACTCATAGTTTTGATCTTAAGCATGTTTTACATGTCCCTTTATTAAAGCAAGATTTGCTATCTGCAAATAAGTTTATTCTTGATAATCAATGCTCAGTACATCTATATCCTTCCCACTTTATTGTGGAGGATATTTCTTCGAAGAAAGTGCTTTTTAAAGGACCTGTACAAGATGGCTTTTATCCATTTCACACCACACCTTCCATTGCTGGACAACAACATGCTTTTGCAGCAGCTTCAAAAACATTTCAAGAGATATGGCATCAAAGACTTGGCCATCCCTTTTTCAAAATACTTATTAAAGTTGCATCTCATTCTTGTATTTCAATCTCTGGTGATATCCATAAGTCTCTGTGTTCTAGTTGTGCTATGGGTGAATGTTCAAAATTGCCATTTTTTGTAGTTTCTTGCTCTACAACAAAGCCATTAGAGCTTTTACATATAGATATATGGGGCCTTTCACCAACTGTTTATGTACAAGGTTTCATATATTATATCATCTTTGTTGATGATTTTACAAAGTATTGTTGGTTCTTTCCACTTAAATACAAATCTGAGGCTTTCTTTATTTTCATTCATTTCAAGTCTATGGTTGAGAACTTATTGTGCATTAAGATTGTTACATTAAGATCTGACTCTGGTGGAGAGTTTCTTAGCACTCAATTTTCAAATTTCTTAATGGATTATGGCATTATTCATCAACTCAGTTGCCCTCATACTCTAGAGCAAAATGGATGTGTTGGAAGAAAGCACAGACAATTGGTTGAAACAACAAGAACTTTACTTGCAGCTTCCAAGGTTCCATATGAGTTTTGGGTTGATGCCTTTGCCACATCTTTATATCTTATTAACAGGCTTTCTATTGCTAAAAAATGCTCTCATTGGGAATCTCTTTTTCACAAAATCCCATATTACAACTCTTTCAAGGTATTTGGCTACAAGTGTTTCCCATGGCTAAAGCCATATACAATCTCTAAGCTTGATCCCAAGAGTCAATCATGTGTTTTTCTGGGATACAATTTACAACACAAAGGTTACAAGTGTATGGATCTTGTAACTATGAAGGTATACATTTCCAGGCGTGTGCTGTTTGATGAAACTCAATTTCCTTTTCATCATATTGTCAATTCTCCAGTTTTGCCTCAATCCTCTAGTTCTACCTTTAATCATATCGCTGCCTCATTAACCTTCACTACATCTCCTATATCATCTCCATCCCTTCTCCCACCACTTCATCATCTCATATCTCTCATCCTTCCACAACTTCACTCATATCTTCATCAACTATAATTTCTTCCTCTCTTAATAGTCAACAAATTAGCATTACTTCCCTTACATCTCTCCAAACCCAATTACCCATCAACACTCACCCTATGCAGACCAGGTCCAAATATGGCATTGTCAAACCTAAAGCTCTTAATGCCACAAAACATCCTCTTCCTTCTCACCTTGCTCTAGACTATATCTCAACTACCTATCTTCAAGCTTCTAAGCACCCTCACTGGAGACAAGCAATGCTAGAAGAATTTAATGCATTACTTAGCATTGGTACCTAGTCACTTGTTCCACCAAATTCCTCTCGAAATTTGGTGGGATGTAAATGGGTTTTCCGAATCAAGAGAAAACCAGATGGCACAATCGACAGGTTTAAAGCCCAGATTATTGCCAAAGGGTTTCACCAGCAACAAGGTTTAGACTACATTGAGACATTTAGTCCAGTAGCTAAACCTGTCACCGTTCGATTGCTTCTTACATTGACAGCTCACTTCAACTGGTTTCTCAATCAATTGGGTGTGAGCAATGCCTTTCTATAGGAAACCTTATTTGAATCTGTCTTTATGGTTCAGCCTTCAGGATTTGAAGATCATACCAAGCTTAACTATGTTTGTCAACTGCACAATTCTCTATATGGACTCAAACAAGCCCCTAGGGCTTGGTATGAGAAGCTTCACATTGCTCTATTCTATATGGGATTCACTGGTTCTTAGAATGACCATTCTCTATTTGTCAAAAATGATCCAGCTTTAGTATTCATCTTAGTGTATGTTGATGATATACTAGTCATAGGTCCAAATCCTCAAACTTGCAAGGATATTATTTCTCAACTTAGCACCCTATTTCCTATCAAAGACTTGGGGCCTCTTCACTATTTTCTTCGCATTGAGGTCCAAAGGTCAGCATCAGGGATCTTTATTTCTCAAACCAAGTACATCATCGATTTGCTCGAGAATTCCAATATGCTTGGTGCAAAACCATGTGCCACCCCTCTTAGCACTTCTTCATTGGATCATCAGTCTTCATTATTATCAAATCCTTCATAGTATAGATCCTTGGTTGGAGGATTACAATACCTCACTTGGTTCAGGCCATACCTTTCATTTGCAGTTAATTTGGTATGTCAGTTTATGCATCAACAAAGGGAATCTCATCTTCAAGCTGTTAAAAGGATTTTGAGATACCTTAAAGGAACTTTGGATCTTGGTCTCTAGTTTCCTAAACATTCAAATTCCCTCAACATCAATGCTTTTTTAGATGCTAATTGGGCAGGCTGTCATATAGATAGAAGATCAACATGTGGTTTCTGCATATTTTTGGGTAACTCTCCTATCAGTTGGAGTGTTAAGAAGCAACCAACAGTGGCCAGATCTTTTACTGAAGCTGAATACAGATCCTTGGCAAACACTGCAACAGAACTTACATGGATTTGCAAATTATTGGTTGATGGTGGTTTACAACTGCTCTGTCCTCCCAAACTTTGGTGTGACAACATCTTAGCTATTTCACTAGCTAAGAATCCCATTTTTCACGCAAGAACAAAGCATGTCGAGATAGACTATCATTACATTCGGGAAAAAGTATTGTCCAAAGCTATTTCTGTTCATTTTATCTGCACTCAAGATCAAATTGCTGATATTTGTACCAAGACTCTCTTTAAGGCTCAATTTCAACTTCTCAAGGCCAAACTTTCACTTCAAGTTCCTCAGTTTAGTTTGAGGGGGGATATTAAGGGTAGTATTGTAAATCCAAGTTGATATTTTCTGTTAGTTTTCCTAACTGTAATTAGTTAGATTAGCTGTCATTTACTCAAAGGATATTCTTTGGTATATATATCAGAATCACAATGTAATCTTATTCATTAAGAAATACAGAAAGATATTTTCTCTATCAGCAACCACTACCATGCACTTTGCCATGGTCTTCATTGGAGGGACAGATGACTGCTAGGCATTAGCATATGCATGGAGGATGGCTGGACATCCTGACATTAGATTAACCATTATACGGATTAACCAACGCAAGAAGGAAGTGAAAACGTCCTCGGATGACAACGACGACAGCTATGACGAAGAAATTTTAAAGGCATTGGCAAACACTGGGATGGAAGAAAAACTCGACAGCTTACACTTGGATGACTTTAGGCTCAAGTCAATGAATGGTCCCTCTATTGAATTGGTAAAGAAGATGTTGACAAGCTGGGTAGAAACTCTCAAGCTAATAACACTATGGAAAATCAATATGATTTGTACATAGTTGGAAGAAGACATGGCAATATGTCATCATCGTCGAAGATATTCTATTTCAGCGACTCTGATGAACTGGGAATTGTCGGAGATGCAGTAGCATCTTCGAGCTTTATGGCGTGCACGTCCATTCTTGTAGTGCAACAGGGCCCCTTTAACTTGGACGAACAAGATGCCCAGGAGGAAATGGGGGATGTTGAGAACAGTTTGAACAGGACATGGCAGCATTCGTTAAAACAAAAAAACCCATTGATTTAGTCCTTAATTTGTAAAACAAGTCGATCCCTCACATTTTTGTAAGAATGTAATAAATTATTGGGGGCTGAACAAAATTAAGCCGGCTTTGACTTCAAGGCGGCCTGAACAAGAGTTTCACGGCCTCAACTTGCTAAAGAAAAGCCTAAATGCAAAGTCGTCCGAGAGCAAGTTGAGGTCTGAGGCAAAAAAAATGTCTCGGAACTCTAATTTTGTTTTAACAAAGTCTCTGTAAATAACTATATCAGTTGCACTTCATTTTTAGTTGAAAATGTTAAGTTTTGCTTAATTTTGTTTTAGTTGTTAAATTTCCAATTTTCCATCAAATTCATCAACCCATCTAACAAAGACAAAATTGCTTTCATTTCCGAAACAGAATCTCAACAAGATTGAAAGAAGGCTTGTGTTAATCCAATACTAATTGCAACTAATCCTCAGGGATTACAAGGACTGATTCTATATAATCAACTCGATATAATCCCAAAACTGCAGCATATCGAAAATCCAACGATCTTGCTCTTACCTTAACCTTTTACCTTCCTTCAAGCACCTGAGCTTCCCTAAAATCCATGCGTAACCCAGATATACATTTGAGACAGCAGAACCTTCTTATTTTCCATTTACGACCTGAGATTCGTGTGTATTACTATTTCTACGAGCCTACCGTTGAACCAGAATCTTCCTTTCTCTAAACATCAGTTGTATCTTAACGATTTAGTATCTTGAGTGCAGCTGAACTATTGTGTGTCCCAATTTGGAATGTTAGCAGTAGCTTCATTCACCATCTTTACAAGGGTGACCTGCACACAAAGAGCACGTAAGTCAGAGAGCGAGAAGGGGGTGGCGGGGACAGAAGATATTTAAAACAAATTTATTCACTAAATATGACAAACCATATGAAAACTTCGATTCTAAACAATCCGAATTTGGAAATGAATAGTAAACATATTTTGTTGGAGGTCACCACGACTATATGTATTTAGTCGGTTAGGCTAATCATCATCAACACAAGCCACGGCCTGACTGTCCTCAATGTGTCTGTGACAGACCCCAGCCCTCCCCTTCCCCCGTCTCCCGTTTACCTTACTGTGACTTTCTCACACAAATGTAGAAAAACTTGCGAATTCCAGTAATTAGACTCCAACAACTAGACAACTATGATCTGGGAACAACAATCAAATAAACAGAACGCTACGAACTTTCTTACACAAATGAAGTGAACTAGTACAGACGAAATACCATAAAAAACAGAACATGCAATTGCAATAATAACAGCAATTCTAAGACATACCACACTCTCAGGAACCCCAGGAGGAGGTAAGGGGAGGTTTCTTGGTGGAGGTCCACGTAGATATGCTCTCTTGTCAAATCTCCATTCCCCAATTTTTCCATATGTTAGCACACCCTAAACAGTCAGAAACCTCAGATAACTACGGAACTATAATGGGCAAAAGGGGGAGGAACATAACAGGATTACGCTTAGAGGCGAAGGGCCATACATACCTTTAAGTTGTAGTCACATCCGTAAGTATAATGAATGATAAACTTTTTACGAAGTTCCGTATCCCATGGCGGCTGAAAATTTAAAGACAATAGAACATTGTTAATCAGAAAATATATACATCCAGTGTAGTTTACTGAACCTAACAAAGAAATCAAAATGCAAATCAATTTTGATATGAATAGCTTCCCTAAGCAAGATTCCAAACCTGCACCATGAACTCCTTCCGAAGAATATGCGGCACACCATGCAAAGCAGATGCCACAGCATAAGCATACCTTATTTCATCCAAGAAAATAAGACACATAGATACATCAAAGCTGGCATCTCTAATTGCCAGAACTCAACTTAGTCGAAAACTAACGTCACTTTCAAACTTACATTTCTAGCACCCATCCGAAAGCTTTATCCGTCTCCGTGTCTTCTTTCATCCTCAAGAAACATTCATCCATGTAGGAGCAATCTTTTCCAGCAAATCCTGAATAATTACATTTACTCATTAAAGTTCTAGGGGTCATAAATGACAATGCGAAATTATACAAGGAAACAATTACAGAAAACTAGAACACCAAAGGATTCAGAACCCCACAATAAATTGGACATCAACGTATTAAATAGGGTGCTGCTATTAGCACTCCAAAAAAGTCCTTATGCACTCCAAACATATAAACACGAGAAAATACACTCGGGGGAATGCACGATAAATTTTCTGGAGTGACCATCACCAATGCAAGACAAAGCGAAAGAAATGACAGTTTACCACAAGCTATTACCTTCTTGATAATTACAGGAGAATTTCCAATTGGACCAATCTTTGTGACCGGACCGTTCCCCTCAGGATAAAACTTTCTTATGATCTTCTCATGCTGAGAAGGTTTAATGTAGAAAAATGGGAAGGCTGCTGGATATCCTCCAAGTGCCAAATTAGGAAGAGGATTTATAAAAATGTGATCAGGCTCCGCCATCAAAATATATCTGCAACAACAGAATTCAAAGGATTTGATGTCAAGTAAAAGATAAAAAATCAGAAAACTCAAAGGTCATCAAATATGCAGAAGCTCACTCTTCCTCAATAGTAGCCTTTTCCAGCCATTGCACAAAAGCCCATGGTCTGTTTAAGACAATGTATCCCTGTATACAAAATTTGCAATCACGCTTAGAAAACAAAGATCGATAAAAAACATATAGTTTAAATTATCTGAAGGACAATAGTTACTCAAACTTCTTTATTGATTGTATAAAGGTTATCGAAAATCAATCTTCAACTATTGACTTGCAAGGGCTAAGCTTTACACATGAATCAACTTACAGTTAACCTCAAAAAGTGAAGAAAATATCCAAAACGTTAAAAAAAAATTGACTTTTTCTGCAAATCTTCATAAGACTATGCAAAGGATCTATTAATTAGACTTAAAACTTAAATTAATAACTTTCACATGTCAATTGTCATCCAATGAGTAGAAAATCATTGAGAATAGTGATACAGTGGATCGGCATGGACCCTGAAACTCAACAAATTTTATTCTTCCCCAAGATCCATTGCTTCCCTTCCACTCAAAACCATTCTTAGTCAGCACAAAAACATGGAATCGTCCTTTTCTTTTTCTTTACTTACTTTCTTTTTGTTTGTGACTCTTTTCCTTTATTCTCTTTTATTTTCAGTAAAATCTCATATAACTCCCAACACATTTCTAATATTGCCAAGACCCCTTATTTTGACTTTAGATTAGAAATAAAATGGTGCAAATAGAAACCATCACATCCAAGATGATACAAATATAATAACAAAGGAATGACAGTGCCAGAAGCCTAACCCGATCAAGTCCTCCAGGAAGAGGATCAACCACAGTAGTTGGAATCTCATCCATCAAGTTGTCAGGTTTTCCTGAATGCAAAATTCGAGTAAATCCTCCCATCTCTGATGCAGGCAAGTCCTTCTTCTTCTTATACCAATAGTACATAATGCGACACTGCCATTTGCTGTAAGGAGTATCAGTGGCTGTTAAGGCAACATGGAATGGTGCCTTGGTATTCTTAAACTTCTTCGCATTCTCCGGCATCTCAATTATCGGGTCAGACAGTAATCCACTATTCGTGTTGTCACCTACCCATTTCCCAACCAATCTATAATGAATTACCATAGTTGACAAATTATAAGTAGCAAAGAAAAACCCAAGAGCCAAAAGGACCAGAACTAACGGTGAAGCTCGTCCCATCTTCTTCCTCTCAATCATTGTTTATTACAAACGAAAACCAATGTCAGACTTCCCAAATGCAGAAATTCTCCTATTCCATCACAGCTTTCAAATTCCGGTGTCCAGAACATAATGTAATAACAACATTAGACCCTTCTGTGATCTTATCCAACTTCCACATAACTTTTTCGAGATACCTACAGTAAGCAATTCTACTTAAATTAGCAAAATAAGATGGAATTACCCTGTACTTTTCAATAAAACTAACCCAGACAATATTATGAACTGAAACAACTCATAATTTACAACCCCATCATAATTCACACTGCAAGGGGAGTTCTATTGACACCCACCCAAATGCTCTCTACACCCCCCCCCCCCCCCCAACTCAGCATTGGGGGGTTTAAATAGAATTTCCCCAAAATTCAACACATACAAAACTGCAATGGAGTGTCTGCAGACCAATGTGATTTGGATACCAAAAAATCAAGAAAAAAAAAAGCAACTTCAGAAAATATCACAGATCAGCACTCTCAAGCTCCAAACTTTACATGATTTCATGTTTCAAAAAACCTTAATCACACTGTAATGAGTAAAAACAGGAACATAGGAATTCAGACATTCAATGTACATACATAGGATTGACAAAACCAACTACAAAGTTTATACCTTTGACAACAAAACAGAAAACCAAGAACCCCAACAAAACAAAAAACCACAAATGAAAGATTGAATAAGTAAACAAACGTAAAAGTTGTCTCCAGTAATTAAAGTATAAAACTCCTACAATACAGATGTATAACATACGTTTAGATATATATATATATATAAAGAGAGAGAGAGAGAGAGAACTCCTACAATACAGATGTATAACATACATTTAGATATATATATATATATAGAGAGAGAGAGAGAGAGAGAGAGAGAGAGAGAGAGAGAGAGAGAGAGAGAGAGAGAGAGAGAGAACTCCTACAATACAGATGTATAACATACATTTAGATATATATATATATATATATATATATATATAGAGAGAGAGAGAGAGAGAGAGAGAGAGAGAGAGAGAGACCTTGGCGTGGCGCAGGTGGAGGAGGGAGGAGAGTGATTGGAATTTTGGATCAAGGGGGTGAGAACAAAAAAAGTATGGGGATTTTATCGATATGACAAACTGGGTATTGAGGTTCCGACTCCTTGCTTTCTGTCTTTTTCCGTACAAGTGTGTGAGTGGCCTTTTATGTTGTCTTTTTCTGTGTGTTTTTGGTCGGATATCCAATGTAATTGATGCCAGATAATGAAATTCCACCATTTATCCACCTTTTAAAACCACCAACCTTTTTCACTGTTTTCCATTTTCATTTTGTCTTATTAGCATTTCCACGTCTTCTTTTTTCTTTTCTTTTATTTTTTTGTTTATTTTGATCTTCCTACAAATCAAATGTAGTTCAAACAAGTGGTTGCTTGTTGTACGTGGATTGAACGGTTATCTTCAACTCAATGCGTTTTAATTTTAAACATTTATTTACTAGCTTAGAGCAATAATATCGAGAGTATTAAAATCGATCTACTAAATCAGTTTTAAATTTAGCTAATGAGATTGGATTGCACCCCTAAATTTTTCAAAACTGAAAAGATTGGATTCCATGAATGATTTTCTTGTGTGTGAGGATTCAATTAAGGTGAGCAATTTAAATCATTTGATGGAATCATGTTTAATATACTATAAAACAAAATATTTTCTATAGCATTTTATTTTTTTACTTAACAAATTTCACTAGAAAAGTTCCAAGTTCCAACAATACAACTAAACACTGAACCGGAAAAAAAACACACCCAAACTAGAGAATCCACTCCATTAAAGGGTGCTTAGGTACATTGAATTGATAAGAAATTGATTAGATTGGAAATTGAAAAAAAATATCCGTATTCCGATATAGAACTAATACACTTATAGAGATCTTTAAAAAATGCAAGTGGTGGATTGCTTTGATCGATGGTACATTCATCTTCAACGTTCAAACTCTCCATCTTTCCTTAATGTAATTAAGTGTAAAATGTCGTTTGTACTCAAAATTCTTAAAAAATCATTCTCGGATTTCAAATGCATTATCATATCTTAGAACACAAAATTCTATTTTCTTTTTTCAAAGTAAATATTTCAAAAACCATATTGTAAAATTTACTAGACAGCCCATAGATTTACAGTTGTTACATGTTAAAGATATAGCATATCAAAATCGTTACATATGAACTCATCGGCATATCAAAATCGTTACTAGACGACCCCTAGATTTACAATCGTTAAATATTTCACAATCGTTACATATGATCTCGACTTATGTCTTCCGGGCACCCTCCAGGGCCTCCACTACCGACCTAGTATGTTCTTCTTAGATGAAGCATACCAAAGTTGACATCCATTTTGTTTATGATTAGGACATTCAAGGTCATGTCATGTCGCTGTCAGTCCCTTTCTCACGGTCTTAGGTTGATGTCTCACAAAATCTTCCTCAAAATATGTAAATGAATTACCTTAGATGGAGGGATATTAGCATCATGGGACCGTGAGAAAACAAGAGTAGAATAAAACTCCCAAGTATTCCGGAATTGGAGAGAAAATGTTATTCAGAAATATTCTAGATTGGAAATTGGAAACCTTATCGTCTGAAAATAAAAAATGGTTTTTAGGATATTCCAAACACTTGTATTAATTTTGAATTAATGTCGAAAAATTGAGATGAAAATTTCATTCTAATCGTTGTGAAACTCTCACCCGTAATGTGCACTAAATTGAAGTTCTACATTGAAAATTTGTGAGGAAGAACGGCTTATCTATACAGATAATTTCAAACATATCTCTAATTAGGATTTTAAAATAAACCAATTTAATTTAAAAAAAAATCTAAACTATTTTTTATTTCTTTAATTTTTTGAAATAAAAATTTGTTTTAAACAACAACTAACAGAGAGCACGCACTTTGTGTGTATGTGAACAATTTCTCTTAATAAGTGCATATTTTTTTAATACTACATAATTACTGTTTTGTCCTCCTTATGTAAATATTGTGTATCAAAAGTGAGAGTAAAATTGAAAAAATATGATTGTCATTATCTAAAAAAAGGGTAAAATAGGAAAAATAGGGATGTGATTGTTATTTTGTCAAAATGTATAAAATTACTATTTTACCCTTCTCATGTCAACATAAAAAAGTAAAGGCAAAATTGGAAAAAAGAATAAAAATTATAAAGAGAAGGCTAAAAAGATGAAGCTATCAAAATGCCTAAAATGCCCCTCTATTTTTTAATTTGTAAACAAAATGCAATTTAATTAAAAAGAGAAAAAACTGTAAAAATACAAAACAAAACTACCTCAGTACAGGAGTAGTTATTGACATATCTACTTTTAATTTCATTTTTTTCTTTTACACATGTAAATTTAATTTTTTAAACAATAAACCAAAATACAAAAGAGTAAATTGCCACACGCGTAACCATATGTTAAGAGGATAATTTTTTCCTACTTCGGGTCATCACTGAAAGCCAAATTGAATATCTGACTGTAGTGATCTACAAAGTGAACATCAAGACCTTGTTTTATATTAGGGGCAAGCTTGTCGAAATCCCTCCTGTTTGATGCAGGGAGTATGATGGTCTTCACTTCGCTTCTCCTTGCTGCTATCGTTTTCTCCTTAACCTAAATTGTTTACAATAACAAAATTTAATAACACAAAACACTGCAAAAAGACAAGCATGTTGATTGAAAATTCATCATGCGGAAACCAAAGTACGCCACCCTGAAGCATACAGAAAATAGAAGAAAATCCCGAAACTTGAATCATAAGAAAGAGTCGATTTACATACCCCGCCAATTGGGAGGATCCTCCCAGTTAGCGTTACTTCTCCTGTCATTGCCAGATCCCTCCTGATAGGTTTCTTCATGGCAACGGAGAGCATGGACGTGATCATGGTGCAACCAGCACTAGGACCATCCTTCGGCGTGGCCCCTGCAGGAACATGGAGATGAAGCTTGGAATTCGCAAAGAAAGTGCTATCAGGCTCTTTGTCGAGCAATATAGCTCTGGCAACAGTATGTGCAATTTGGGTACTTTCTTTCATAACACCTCCAAGTTGACCAGTGACATGAAGGGATCCCTTCCCCTCTGCTTCCTCAATCTGAGTGGTCTCTATATACAACGTACAACCACCCATGGCAGTCCAAGCAAGACCCATAACAACTCCAACCGGAGTCTGATCATAGATTCGTTCAGCATGGAAGACAGGTTTGCCAACAAAATGGTCCAAGTTCGATGAGTCAACCAAAACTTTCTCAACTGTTTTTGTTGTTTCACCCTCCTGAATTCTCTCAGTTTCTTTTGCATCCTGTAAATACAGCAATAATTATAGATGACATGAAATTATTGAACTGAAAGTATCTCCAGAGGAAAGAGATGAGCACCAAAAGGCAGTTTAAAAAGATTTCGTATTATGTGGAACTTGCACATCATCGGTAGTCTCTACGTATTATTCTTAAAATTAAATCATATAATTATTTTCCAAACTCTCTCAGCTTCGTCATAGAGATTGCTAACTACCGCTAAAAAAATAGCTAACTGCACAATAAGTTTATATCAGAGAAACAAACAGGAATCATATTCAACTGCATTCAAAACATTTCTTGTGCAGAGCAAGTCATTACCCAGAATTTATAACTTGTTACATACCTTTGAATCCAGGGGTTCATCAGTATCTGCAACTGCAGGTTCATCTGGTAGATCCGTCTGAATCGCGACTCCTTCTCCAGAGGTTTCAGGACTATGCTCATGACTGTTACCCTCTACCATCTCAGCTGCAATCTGGTTCTTACTAGCAACCACGCTATGATCCAACTTATCAACAGCTTCTGCTTGGGTTTCATCAGTATCTGCAATCTGAACATCAACACCTGCAGGCCCGTCTGGGGGAGATTGGATCTGACCAGAAACGACTGGTTCATCTGATGCTGCTTGTCTGACAAGTTGGAGAGCTATCTGCCACATTATAAAAGATAGCTTAACAAGGTTTAAGTAATACCATTGGTCGAGGAATTATATGATGGCTCAACAACGTCATAAATTTGTTCTGTTCAGAATAAGCTCCATGAACCTAAGAGAACTATGGGGAAACATTTCAAACACGTAGATATTCATGGTTCATTGTATGATAAGATGCAGTTTGCAATGATGATCAAGATATAGATAGTTTACAAACCTTGCGATAGATCTTTTCTATGTGCTTTTCAAGGTTCCTAACACCTGCTTCTCGGCAATAATTTTCAATAAGGGCAAGAAGAGCTGTATCTGTCACTTCAACCTGAGCATAATAATTTTAACATACATAAACGATGATTCAGATAAAATCTACAAACACGTCGGAACACATATAGAGACCGATACAAGTACCTGTTCGGGTTGAATGCCACATGCGTCACGTGTGGTCTTCTCCAAATAGTCTCTAGCAATTTGCATTTTCTCATCAGTGATATATCCAGTTATGTAAATGACCTCCATTCTATCCAAGAGAGGATTTGGTATCATCTCTACAACATTGGCTGTACATACAAACAGAACCTACAGCAAAAACTTCAAAAAATATGATTTCCAAGTACTAAACATAATGCATAAACTCATCTAGCACTGAGTATAGACAGTAAAAGAATTGGAAACCTAAAGCATCCTACATACTGTGAGGTTAAGCTTATACCAATTTTAACAATCAAAACACAGACACCAAATGCTTGAAATCGGTAATTTTATTACTGGAAATTGGTATTTTTCTCTTAATTAATAAAAATATCTGTACTAACCTTTGATAGGTCGATTGGAACGTCAAGATAATGGTCTAGAAAATTAGCATTTTGCTCAGGATCAAGAAGCTCCAACAAAGCACTTGCCGGATCACCAACATGGTCCCTTCCCAACTGAAACAAAACAACGCAAATTCGAAGATTAAAACTTAAAAGTAGTATGAAACTCAGAATTAATAATAAATAAGAAATTTAAATAACTACTCACTCTGAACTACAAGGGGAAAGAGACCTAGAAATAGGATTTGTCTAAAATACGATATGAAGCAAGCTGACCAATCATTTATTACCTTGTCAATCTCATCTATCAAAACTAAAGGGTTAGCTGTTCCCACATTTTTAAGGCATTGTACCATCTTTCCTGGCATACCACCAACGTAGGTTCGACGATGCCCCTGGATGTACATGTCAAATTTTAATGTCATAAGATTAGTTGCATGACGCACATCTCTTTATCAATATTTCACACTGAGGAGCTCTTCCCAAATACCTTAATTTCAGCAACATCAGATAACCCTCCCACAGAAAACCGAAAGAAGTTGCGGTTCAGGGCACGTGCAATTGAACGACCAATGCTGGTTTTGCCCACTCCAGGTGGGCCAGAGAGACAGATGATTTTTCCTGCGATATATACGCAAAATATCAGTAATCCTCATGTAATGAGAACTAGTACTTTGCAGCATTGGTTAAAACCATAGAATAACATATGTAAAATAAGAGCCAAGATCAGTGTCTGAGAAACAGGGGAACTCCATGATGTGTGGCAATGCCAACAAATCAAGATAGACAATTACAAAACTTGAAAACTATACTAACCTTGAGAGGTTCCTCTGAGTTTTCCAACGGCAATAAATTCTAAAATCCTTTCCTTTACATCAGTTAGTCCATAATGATCTTCATCGAGAATTTTTTGTGCCCGAAGAACATCAAAGTTCTCATCACTGCACTAGGAATAGACGTAGGTGTTCAATATATTTGAATCCCAAATATTGCCCCAATAAGGTTTTAAGTAGTGCAAAACCTGTATTTTCCCCAGGGAATTGAAGTCAACCAATCTAGGTAATTACGTGCCAAATTAAATGCACTTGAACCGGCCTCCAACTGGTGCAGTTTTGTAAGTTCTTCCTCTATAACTTGCAAAACATGAGGTGGGCAGTTTTCCCTGTTTGGTTCAAGCATCTCCCTAAACTTATCTGCAATCAAAAGATCAGAAAAGTGATGCAACAATTACCTTTGCTTACATGAAAAATCAGTACTTAGTTAGAATACCTAAAGTTTCCACAGAAATGCTTAGCGTCATACTCAGATAAGAACTAATGAGCAGAAAACGCACAGGTCGTAGTCATGATGTGTACAGATTGAAAAGTTGAAAATAAAAGATAAGAAACCAACCGGTAAGTGTTGTTTTATCATCTGTCTCTAAACCCAGTTCCTGCATTATGTCAAACAAAATAAATTACATAAAGGCCCAGGGTTGGGATAAAGAAACTGATACAAGATCCACCACAAAGTGAAAACTTATCCATTAACTTATAGTCAGTGGAGAATCCGTACTGAAAGTGCACGAAAAACTTACAAAATGGTGGAGAAAAATATCTCATAATGGTGGAGAAAAATACCCTTTTGATGTCTTTAAGCTGCTCACTCAACAAGTTATTCTCTTTGATTGCTTTTTTGATGGCTTTAAGATGCTCATCCAACGAGTTGTTCTCTTCAATTGCTTCTTCAATAGACTCCTAAGAATAACCCCATAAATGAAGGTACAAAACCCAATCAAACTATGACGGATAATAGAGTTCGTAAAACAAGAAATGGAAAATCAGCATTCCATACCTGAATCTTGCTGTTTTCTATGTCTTTCTTCACCAGTTCTAAAGTGAGCTTTAAACGTTTATGCACCTGAGCGATAACAGAAGTGTTATATAGCCTTTCGGAATATAAGCAACTTGCACGAAAAGGCTGGACGTGAAGATTTACATTTTCCACAACACTTGATCGTTGAAATGAATTATTTTTAAAAATAAGCAACGTAAAGAATGAGCTCTCTAATTACTATCCACCATACCGTATTTAAATTAAGTGATACTCACATCTAGCTCTTCAAGCACTTCTTGACTTTGCAATTTGTTTGCACCAGATATTGCAGCTCCAAAATCTGCAAACCTTGGAATATTAAGATCACGTATATCCTGAAAAATTCCAATAAAAAAATTAACATGAACAAATTCTAAATCCAAATGATTGTAAGACATCAACACACATAGATATTTATGTAAACCACTTTTTCTCACTAAGTCAATCATTTCCATAAACGACAAATTAATTTCTTCATCAACTCATTTATGAATAAGGGGAAAACCAAGAAGAAGGTCCAACAAATTCTTCAGAAGTTGCAGAAAAAAAAACTGGTAACGAAGCAAATAAGCGCACAAGAAGAAAAACCTTCGACAAATCCAAACATTATAAAAACGAAAGAAACAAACCTGAGTGTATGTCTTAACATGATCTAACCAATCTGAACAAGTCATGACATGATCTATAAAACATGATGTAAGCTCAAACGATGTTGCATCTATGACATGATCATCTTTGTTATATCGTTTATCCTGAAATATATAGCTCAGTCAGAAAAAGAAAGAAGGAAAAAAGAAACAAAATCTATCATATATGTGGAACCTCCTACAATTAATATATGATACGTGATTAAATAAAATAAACATGCCTTCAGATGGTCAACTTTTACAGTCAGGGGTTCTTCATCAACCTGTACGGAAACCGTAACATTCCTTTTAACAATATTTATCTCAAAAATAAAATAAAATACGATACTACATTGGAATTATGTGTTATTGTACAAAAATTTTGAGGCATCCACTCACCATCTCTGTAATTCGAAGCCGGCTATGGCCAATAAGGACTACTTGATCTCCTTGGATGCTTGAAATCTGATGTACGAAGATACAAGCAACTACAACATCAAAAACTGAAAGGAAGTTCTAATCGATCAATATCTGTGCATCGGATACCTGTGCAAGCGTCCCGACTTCATGTAGTCGACTAAACAACTCCTTCCCTTTCAATTCATGTATGTTTTTATCTGTCTCGGAACCTGATACCAAACTGGGATCGGTCCCCGGCTCAAGCTTGAGAAGGAAAGCACCGGCATATGGAGCTCGCCGCTTTCGGTTTTCTTGTAATGCTGCTAACAATTTGGGATCCTACATTAAAAACAACACGTTGTTTACTAAAGTGTGGACCGAAATGAAATTTGATTTGCATAGTAATCAATAATCTCATGTACCTTCACATAAATTGGCAAGTTAAACCCCGGAAACAGCGGTCTATGCCGCAATGGCAAAGCTAGAACCTGCCTCACAAATTGATAAGAAAAACAAGTTCGAACATTTTCTCACACACTACAACATTTTCTCGGAATCCAAACAGAACAAGTAAAACGAAAGTCTCAGAGCCCACTAACCGTAAGATAATCTTTGGGCCGGGGATTCGTGGACACAATGGCAGAGGAGGACTTGGAGTCGGCCTCGTTCCCTGCCGCCTTGAACTCAACTTCCCTCACTTGGTCAGACGCGTCGCCGGAGTTCGAACAAAAAAAAGCTCGGCGAGCCGAGGCAGGGCAGTTCTGCCGAGTCAATCCGGCGAGCGAGCCGAGAACTTGGAGAACCGGCGACGCCAACTCGGAGGCCGGACCGGGGCGGAGGCTGTGGACTCGGCCCTGAAGGCATGGCGAGGAAGAGGACAAAAGCTTCAGCATTTGATTGGTGCAGCGATCGGAACATCTTTTAGGAAATAATTTTATTAATTATTGATGTTTAATTATCTGCAAATAAGTAGTGGAACTCCTATTCTTAGGAAGCAGTTTGGATTGCCTACAAATTAGGATTATCTCGTTTATTTTAGAGTCCGTTGATCGCTGCTACTTTGTATTTGTGTTTGGTTGCTCAGAAAATTTAGATTTTATTTTCTTAAATTTTGCTACTTAATTTTGCGGTTTACGATTATTTAGCTGCAAATACCTGAACGAGAAAATTTAGCTTTTGCAGATGGACGGATGGCCGTTTAATAAGGTAGGGAGTGAGCGGCACAGCTCCAGCTCCAGAAGTGGAGTTGGAGGAGGAGGGATGTTTGAGTATTTTGGGTGGGTGTATCATCTGAGTACGAATAAGATAGGGCATGAATATTGTCACCTCCAGTTTCTTTTTCTCCGGGGAAAGTACGTCGAGATGTATAAGCGGGATCCCCATGAGAACCCCGGCATTAGACCCGTTCGGAGGGTTGCTGTTGGGCCTACTCCGATGGTGGAGGAGCTGGGGCGTCGAAAGGTTAATCATGGGGGGGTAAGGGTGGGGATATCTATGTTCTAAGGTTTACAATGATTTGGATGAAGCCAAAAAGGGAGAACTTGCTTGTGCGACAGGCGGGAGAAGCACAATTATGGATGGAGGTATTTGACCAAGCCAAGCAACACGCTGAGTATAAGCCTTGAAGAGGGGCTAGCGCAAGAAACAAACTGAACACGGAAGAGGAGATAGATCTTGAAGGTCATCGACCTAGAGTATGCACTATGCACGTGGATTGAAAGGGCTTATAAAAATTGTGCAAGGCCCAGAGACGCTCTTGCGTCAATCCTCCTGATTGGGTGCGGATGTTAGCACAGAGGGGTACTTTCAAACAGGTTTTGAAGATGCAGTTGAGGCGTATGTATGGAAATGTCTGTGAACAGTCAATGGTGTTCGAATATTTCAAGATGTTGCTAACGCAGATGGGAAAAGGCGTTATTGTCAACTCTGTTGGCGTTATTGAAGCAAGTGCAGATACTGCTTTTGAAGTGATTTTAAACCTCGACCGACATCAGAGATATGAGTGGGATATGCTGACATCTAACTTAGAGCTGTTAGATTCTAATGATGGATACCATGATGTTGTCCATGCGACTTTTGATCCTATGTATCTTTCTCGGTGGCATTCCAAGAATGATTTTCTCTTCTCTAGGCGATTGTTCCCCTGACAAGATGGAACGTACACCATCTTGCAATTTCCGGCCGTCCATAAGAAAAAGCCTCAGAAATCTGGATATCATCATACAAAAATAAATCCATCTAGTTGGGAGATTAGAGATCTGAAAACATCCATGGGTTCAAATACTCCACGATGTCTTGTGACACAAACGGTGGAGATGCGTTCTGTGGGCTGGTGGAAATGGGAGAAAAATCACTTCTCGAAGTTCGAAAAGTGTACCTTATGCGTTGTTATGCAACTTCTGCAGGCTCTTCATCTTTTAATGAAGAGAGTGACAGTGATGAACTTGATAATAATGAAGCAAAGGTGAGACTGAGGAATGTTGCGTGGGCCATCACTAGCTTAGCTTTGAAGCGAGCTCAAGCTGCAGATGCTAATAAAAAATTGGATTCCGAAGTGGCTGCAATCATTATTGATCCAAGCTAGTTCCATGGTTCCTTGACCAAAGGGAAAGATGATGCCGTAACGAACTGTTGGACATCTCTCCAAGTGGTAAGGGAGTTATGATCAGAGGAAGAACTACCTCGAGGACAATTCTAAGGTAATGAGAGGAGATTCCCTTCGCAAGCTCGTAGTGTTGTGCTAGGATAGCACCAAACCAATTGGAACCAACTCAAGCTAACCCACAGGAAATATATTAAGATGAAATGCAAGAACAAAATATAAAAGACACCAAGATTTTAAAGAGGTTCCTCAACAGTCAGTGTAACTGAAGTACGTCCTTGGAGAAGTAGGAGCTCACCCAATAATCCACTATCAACCAAATGGGAGTTTACAAAGTGTTGGCAATCTCACAACCCAAAAACCCAATACATCAAATAGCTCTCTCACACCAAAGAAACAAATAGAGAGAAATATAATGAATAATTTCTTCTCTATACAAAGCTCAAAGCTATTACAACAAATAACACTTCGATGGAGTGAGAACTAGACAATGAGAGGGCACACTTTCTTCTTCTCTCCAAAATGGAGCTACTGAAAAAACCAATATGTGCTCTCTATTTTTCTGCTACTATGTAGCTGCCTTGCTCTCTCAAAGATGGGCTACTAAAACAAGTGGTGCTGTCCTCCTTCTCTCACATTCGGCTGCACACCTTCATTCATCATAAAGCACCCAAAAACAAAACCAATAATAAGGCTACTTGCTAGCCTTTACCTTTTTTTCTACAAACATAACCCTTTTTATCTTTTCAACAAACATAATAATGTTGTCTACCTCATTTTGTTTATTTTATTTAGCCGAAAGTTGTTTTGTCATTTGGCCATAATTCAACACATAGCCGTAGATTGGTTCGAAGTTAATAAAAGCATAGATAGATTCGCACTGTATCCCAGGTGCCTTGTCCGGCCACAAGGCGGAAAGAAGCTTCCATTTGTACTAGTCTTTAATCTCCAGGTTCCATCTAAACCAAATTATAGTTTGGTATTTTACTATGCCGCTGACAGACCACCGAATCCAAATTCTGTTTTTTTTTTTAAAGTTTGTGGATGGGAGTTTAAAGTTAATTCCAAGTATTGCTGAAGGATATTGGATGGTCAAGCTTGGAACAAAAGGTTGCTTACTGGGGAAGCTGTATCCTGCAAATATCTCAGGCAAGACAATTTCCTAGAGATTGATGTAGATATTGGATCATCATCCGTGGCGAGTTTCATTGGACTTGTCCTCGGATACGTCATGAGCATAGTGGTTAACCTTGCAATTTTGATAGAGGCAAAGGAGCAAGCAGAGTTGCCTGAGTACATTATAGGGAATGTTCGACTAAATCATTTGAAACGTGACTCTGCTGTTCTTTTCGAGCTTTAAGGTTGTGTCAACATTCGTTAATTAGTATTTCCACCTTTGTCGGAGCTATTGGTTCAACATGACTTTTGTTTTCCAGTTTACAGTATACTAAAATAAAATGTGTAACTGAGTAATCTGACATGCAATTGAAAGTAATAGAAAGATGGAAAGCCATTTGTTTTTCTTCCACTTGACTCTATATTCAAAATACCGTACCCTCACTGTATTGCATAACACATTAGTATCGAACCATGAATTGGTAGTTGTTTTGTTTGCTGAAAGGACCTGCAGCTATCTTTCTAGTGGAGTTGGTTTTAGCTTCCAAAGATTTCGTTCATCCTATTATAGTTAGAAGAGACGAAGCGTGTAGATAAATGAGGGAAGATTTGGCTTTAGGGAATACTAGCAAAGAAGCCCGCACTCCTCTAGGGTTTGAAACCGTAACCAAAATTTAACACACTCATTTCTAAATTATTCAAAAATAAATGAAAGCAACTGAATCACATGATATTTTATCATCCACAAAGGAATGAAAATGTTTTTGTCTGATTTTTCAAATTTTGAGATGTATCAGGTATCAATTGTTGTTTGTGTCTTTGTGCTTCTCATTGTGAGTTCTTTTTGCTTATTACTTTGAATTTTCGTAGTTCGAAATTTGCAATGATCAACAAAAATGGGATATGCCTATGTGATTTGGTATGAACTAATGAATGGTTTGCAATTAATTAATTTCATTCTGATGTATAATCATTTGTATTAGTTTCATAATTTGGAATCAGGAATAACAGTTAAACTGGGCCTTGAATTACATCATCAACCAATACTTTTTCCTTTTGCTTTCTGTGAATATTTTGGTTGCTTGTTGCAAATGAATGGATTTGGAACTTTGAACTAACAAATTAAGCAATTCAAGCAGATTATATACCCTTAAAAGGTTTAAGAGTAGATATAAAATTACTTAATATTAAATCAAAATAAATAGATGTAGCTATGTATATTTTCAGCAATTTCAGACCTTCACTCCCATCATAGGACTTAAATCACATTTAAAAATAAAAAGTACAAAAAGACAGTTGTACTTTTAGCTTCGTTTACAAAAAAACTCCGTATACAACTATGTATTTCACACAAATTTGTGTAAAAGGACTTGCCTCGGGGATGAAGTACTCCATCCTCTTACACACACCTATGCCAAAATCTCTCTCAGGTAACTTTTTCAACCTGTAGAAGCCAATATACGAAGGAAATCATTCAATGCAATTGTATTAACCTTATTTGAAGGATATGAAAATGATTTTTTTTTCACTAATAATACAATATGTACAATCATTACCCAATTCCAGAATCCATTTCAACTCCCAAAATTACACAAAGTTTACTAAAATTTCAAGCAAAGATAACGAACCAAGATTCACAATTCACTTCAATTCTCAAACATGCTCACAGATGAATGAAACAACAAAGAACCAGCGAAATTTTGTGTAACTTAGAGGAAAAATTCTCATCTTGACGACGAGCATTTGGCCTCTGAACATCAAAACAACACCCATTTGGTGGAGAATTCTGAAGGTGTCAGGAACGGGAGCCACGTGAGAGAACTGGATGCCCAGAGCAATTTTTATCCAGAGAACAGTTCAACATTTTTATCCGTTCGTTCTTTTGAGTTTTTGGCATCAATTTGTAGCAGAGCGAGAAGTGGTGGAGAGGAGGCAACGAAATGACGCGAAAAGAAGAGGTATGTGTGGATCAAAGGGTGTGGCAGCATCCAGACTTGGGAACTGTAAAGCATGTGGATGAAAGGGTGTAAAAAAAGGAGTAGGATTCTCACCCTTTTTTTTTCCTCCCCTTCCCTCCCCTCCTATTTGAACGGTCATGGTTAAACCATATCAATATCTTATATTAATTTTTTTTTATGGAAAGAGAAAGACAAAATAGAGAATATGAGAGGAGGGGATGGAAAGATGATGGAAAGAGAAGAGGAGAGAATCCTAGTCTGTAAAAAAAGCATCCCAACGTGTGGATGAAGAGACAGGGGTATTATCGGAATTTTACTATCTTGTCAAATTAAGTGGGCAATAAGAGCTACAAAAAGAAGGAGCATTTCCATCTTTACACTGTGCTTATGAACAATGTTTTTTTGCCATAGCGCTTTAGTATATATAATTTTAACAGATGGTAGATACCTAGTTTCTGTAGGGATGATTTAACAACTAATAATTCAATTGCACATTTATTTCTTGTTAGATGGACAAATATATAGGTTTTATAGTACTATGCCTCTGTTCTGGGTCAACACATGATGTCAGAAAGTACATGTTTCACTATTATGCCTCGCTTTTGAAACATACCAAAAACAGACCAACGGTTCAGTAGTATAGTAGTTTTTTTCATTTTATTTTATGACTGCATCTAACCCTTAAATTAGGTTAGACTGCTTCCGTATCCTACGACGAGATCAAGTCATTGAACTAGGCAAATGAATAGACAAATACCTAGTCAAGTTTGATGTAGCTATTTAGGGATTCAAACCACTACATATGAGAATTGTCTATTCATGATCGTCTATCGGATGGAAAGACTGAACGAGGGCCACGTCACAGCGTTGTGTAAATCGTTTTCCCGATGCTATTGTAACTTTGTGAAACTGTATGTAGTAAATAAAAATAGGTGAATGATTTTGTATATGCCGCCAGGCAGAGGGAATCCCGTCTCGCTTTTGGACGCTTTTGGATGCTGCCCTGTGTAGTGTCTTCTCTAATGGGAAGTCCAGCTTAAATTTCTGGGTTCCGAAATGAGGTAGAAGAAGATAGTCACCACTCAGTGGGTAATACTATGTTGGAAAATACTAGAGATTTTAATTTGTGGTGGATATACATTTTCAGTCAATCAACAACAACTGTGTATGGAAGTCTATGGCAACTGGATCTTGGACAAAGTGTATGGTTTGAGATATAAGGGCTTGATGGACTTGGGTTTAGTGTTCTTTCATGATCCCACTTTGCTTGAACTTGTATCCCTATTAATGCATCAACCTTTTATAGGAATTGGAAACGTAGGTTTAAGTGAGAAGTCAACTTCTGTGGATGGTGAGTTTTTTTTTTTTGACCTTACGCCGTGATTTCAAGGGTAACACTCATCTCGGCCATTGTCGTACAGGATCACTTGCATGTGGATGGTGAGTTTGATATTAATTTTTTATGAATGTTACCACAATGGATTGAAACTGCCATTATAAGCGGGATGAATGAAACCGCCATTTCAATTCATAAAAAATTAATATCAAACTCACCATCCACAGGCAAGTGATCCTGTACCACAATGGCCGAGATGAGTGTTACTCTTGAAACCACGGCGTGAGGTCAAAAAAAAAAAAAAAAAAAAAAAACTCACCATCCACACAAGTTGACTTCTCACTTAGGAAACCCACGTTTCCAATTCCTATATAAGGTTGATGCATTAATAGGGATACAAGTTCATGCAAAGTGGGATCATGAAAGAACACTATAAACCCAAGTCCATCAAGCCCTTATATCTCAACCCATACACTTTGTCCAAGATCCAGTTGCCATAGACTTCCAGACACAGTTGTTGATGATTGACTGAAAATGTATATCCACCACAAATTAAAATCTCTAGTATTTTCCAACATAGTATTACCCACTGAGTGGTGGTGACTATCTTCTTCTACCTCATTTCGGAACCCAGAAATTTAAGCTGGACTTCCCATTAGAGAAGACACTACACAGGGCAGCATCCAAAAGCGAGACGGGATTCCCTCTGCCTGGCGGCATATACAAAATCACCATCCACTGGCTTTATTATAAGATGGATGGTGAGTTTGATATTAATTTTTTATGAATTGAATTGAGTGATTTAAAGGATTGAAATGGCGGTTTCATTTCTTGGGCTTTTGAGTTTGTTAACGGTGAGGTTCACCAGTGTGCAACAGCACATCCCGCTTATAATAAAGCCATACTTTCATTATAACCTTTTATGAAAACTTCTCCCTCATAAGACTAAAGAGCAAGTTCACCCATAGTTCTTTGCCATGGCTAGATCCCAAATCCAATCCAACATTCACCTACACCCGTTTCTTCAAGCCATGGCTCATGGAGTCTTGGCGGTAGCCATGCCGATTCTAGACCCAAGTCTTGATCCATGGAAGTTCCTATTCACGATGGATGGAGAGTAGCATAACGATAACAACCTAGCTATTCTAAATTAATCTCATCCGTTAAATAATTAGTGAATAATAATTGTCATAGCAGTTACTCTTAACAATGGGTGAAAAGTGTTGAAAGAAAAGCCAAAATAATTTATTATGTATGTAAATAGTAACTTCCACAAGTCCACTACTAGACTCAAATTCACCAAAAAAGTGAAAATGCTTTCGGAGATGGGGCAAACAGGTAAGACTTTGCCCCTTGCATAACTGCATTGTTTGCATTATTTTGAATCAGCAACAGGAAAGGAAGGGCCATGCTGTATAGGTGTAAGCTCCCGTGACAATGTGACATGTTCAATAGGAAAGTAGAAAAAGGAAGGCAGGCCTGCAATTCCTGCATAAGCTGTTGGTAATTTCATTTTCATTTTGTTTTTACCTTTGCACAGCTAATTAATGTCTTTTTTTAAGGAGAAATTCTCTCTTCCAACCAATACACAGCACTAATAGTGTCATCAGTCTAATGAATGTATACCACATGTTCAAAATTACACTAACAATTCAATAGATGTTCAACATGTGGGGCCATCGCGTCACTAGTAATATAAGGGTGCGTTTGTTGCACCGGACTATCTCGGACTGGACTAGCTTTAAGGACTAAGTTGGACTGGGTTAGACTAGACTAAGCTGGACTGTCTTAGTGAAACGTTTGATGCAGTGTCGGACTAAACAACAGGATAACAACAAATTCTAATATTATATTTTTTATTTATATTTTATTAATATTTTATATTATTTAATACATATTTAGTAATATTTTATTACTTCCACTGTCTATTTGCTTTTTCATTCTGAAACCACCCATCTTCATTTCTTCCTAATTTTGCTCCGACCCTCTCCCTCTCTTCGTCTTTTTCTTTTCCTTTCCACTCTCTCCTCCCTCAAAACAGCGTCATTCATCACACCCCCTTTTGTTCTCTTTTTTTTTTCCCTTTCCTTTTCTTTGCTGTTGTGATTCCTCTAAAGACCAAGGCGAACGCTAAGCCGAAGGAGGATGACGACGAGCCCGAAGAAGGAGAGATCGTCGGCAACCAAGACTCGGCGTCGTCGAAGCCTTCGAAGGGAATTGCGCCTCAGTCTCACGCCCTGGAGCACTCCTGGACCTTCTGGTTCAATAGCCCTGCCGCAAAGTCCGCCAAGTCCAAGCAGGAGGATTGGGGCAGCTCCATCGGCCCGATCTACACCTTCATTACCGTCGAGGAGTTCTGGAGGTTAATTTCTTTCATTTCATGTGGCTTTGGGTTTAATTTTGTTTGGTTGGTAGGAAAACTGAGAAAAGATTGAATTTTTGCATTTGTTATGTGCTTGCTGTAGTTTGTGATAGAACAAATTTGGCCATTTTTTGGTGGTGGAAGAACCCTCGCAGGGAGGAGGAAGAAGCCCAGAACTCACAGAAGGGCTCTCAGGGAGGAGGAAGAAGCTGGTCTTAGCAAGTCCCATGGTTTGGGGAGTGCCTCGCTAAGAACCTTTAAGGAGGCCTCTAGTCCACACGAGTCCCCTTTAGTCCCATTTAACTTAGTCCCATCACCTATCAAACATGGGACTGTAGTCCAGTCCAGTCCACTCCCTCCTAAGGAGGTGAAACTCACCCTATAAATAGAACTAACTAAACTATTCAGTGTGGCGTCAGTAATACATGTATTTTAGCGGTTAAATTTAGTTTTTTTATAATTGTTTAAATTTTTTTTTATTCAATCTCGGTTATTCATAAACTCTAAGAAAATAAATTCTCTCTGTTTGGTTTGATTTTTAGGTAATTCTCTCTGAAACCCTAAAAACTAAACCCCAAACGGATTTTTCTATGGACTTTTGTCCATCTTGTTTTGGCACTTGTGAGTCTAGTCAAATATCAATGAAACCTCAACAGCTCACCACTGAAAGGTGAAAACATTTAGGAGAGAAGAAACAGGAAAACAGAAGAATCAAACAAAACCAGGTAGGGTTTGAAATCATGGAAATGACAAACTCCCGTCGCAGACAAACACATGCCATAAAGGTTTCTGCTTTCCACAGTTCTTTTTCTATTTGCAACTTTTCTCGATTTTTATAATTTGAGTATCAGATCGATTTTTTTTAATTGATGAGAACCAACTATCTAGTACCAAACATATTAACAAAGAAAAAACATAATTAATATATATCTGTTGCAGTCCTATTAGATTAAAAATATGGTTGTGTAAATTCTAGTGTATCTATGAGTATTTTGTATATATTCCATTTAGTAGTTTAATTCCTATAGAGTTGTAATCATAATAGGATAAGTATTTAACCTTCCCTACTACTATAAATAAAGGCATAAGGTTGTGATACAACACACACCTCAGAATTACATCTCTCTCTTTTCTCTCTGTTGCCGCCGGCCTCTCTCCCTTTCTGTCCTTTTTACAGTTCAGTCAAATAGACCTACAACAAGTTATCAGCATGCTCTTGCTAGAAGCTAAGGAACTGAAAGATCGTGGAGGAGGCTTACTTCTACAACATCAAAGGCTTTTAATTATTTTCTACCAATCAGGTTCTTCTAAAATAAATTAAGATATTTAAAAAAACCTTGAAGCATGAAAACATTCCCCATGATGCATGAACCCCTTATATTTATATTTTCCTTCCAATTATATATATTGTATATGTTCATATATTTTGTCAATATATATACTTGTTCATGCGTTACGCATTTATGCTATGTGGAATTTGTGAGTCAAAGTATTGAAATTAATTTAGAAGCAATTAGGGTTTTTAACCCTAGAATTATAAAAAAAAAAAAAGAAAAAAAGAAGGGATTATGCAGCACCGCTGCCGCACCACCGTGGCACCATCGTGGCACCACTGCGTTGGCCTGCAGCCTAGCCACGTGGGGAACAATGTTGTTTTCGACACCCTGGACCAAGCACAACAATCCTTTGGGCTTGCTACCATTAACCCACAACTAGGCTTTAGCCTGGGTTGAATTGCATACGAGCCTGAAGCCCCAATCTATAACCAAGCCCAATCAAGAATAACCCGAAGCTATGCTGGGCTTGTCCTTAATCAGGCTTGAAGCCTCGGCCCACTCCAGTATGCCAGAAGCTTGTTGGGCTTTGCCTTTGCCACGGCTCACGACTCCATAAGCTAGCTCATACAGCTGGGCTTGTCCTTACGGCCCAATGACCTAAAACCCAACTTTGGCTAGGCTTCCTTGCACCACCCGCAAGCTAGCCTTGCCCCGTGAACTAGTCTCAGCCCACATCGCCAGCTTTGCTGCTGGGCTTCCCAGACACTTTGCCTGCAACCATGTTTGGGCTGCTCCACAGACACTTGAGGCCCATATGCCCTTTTAGGGCTTTGCCTTACTCACGACACCCATACCCATCGCAATTGGGCTATGGATTTTCAAATCTAATGCTATCTTTTGGCATTCTTTATAATTTAAACTCGAATGTTATAATTATTTTTGCTTCTACGATCGACACATAATGGTCCCGATCTATTAAATTAATTAAAGTGGCCAGTAGTCCACTAATCTAACAATTAATCCAAAATTATTGGCCTGAAGCTCACTTTTTGGCAATTAACGATTCAATAAATTATTTCATTTCTTTGAACGGTTGACTTTCTTTCGTAGTCCCGAAGTACTCACACTTAGGTTCCTGAAACAATCCACAAATCCACTACACTTTATTGTATATTGTATTTTGTGTTCTTGTAGGTACCCTTATATATGAACTGAATGTTCATAACTAAATCGAACCTGTAGTTTCAAATTTAGTGCCTTTGAAACCTGAAGTTTTCATTCAAAACTTACCATATAAAACCAATACATGTCTATAGAACCTGAATGTTATATGATGTATGTTTATGGCTTTCCATATGACTAACCATGTTTTGTTGTATCCTCTGTTTTAAGGACATGTCGAACTTGAACAAGCTTGATTTCATCGCTCTGGAAGTCTCTGGAAGAAACTACCTAAAGTGGGTTCACGATGTGCTCCATCTTACTGCAAAGAGTCTTAGAGCTACTATCGAGGAACCAATCGACAATGCACCCATCGACGAAGCTCAGAAAGCTAATGCTATGATTTTCATCTACAGACACATCCATGATGCACTGCAGACTGAGTACTTCACAGATGAGGATCCACGTACCCTCTAGCTCGCTCTGGCCGATCGCTTTGATCACTAGAAAGACATTTACTTGCCTGAAGTAAGACACGACTAGCAGCATCTACACTTGCAAGGCTTTAAGTCTATAAATGAATACAACTCTAAAATTTGTAGAATCTGAGCACTACTTAAGTCATGGAGAAGACCTACTTGACTTTCAATGCCACCAATATTGTCCTGCAACAACATCTAGGGTACAGAAGTCACCAAATTTTCAGATTTGATAGCTATTTTACTTATCACTGAAAAGCAGAACCAACTTTTGATAAAGAATCATCAAGCTCGACCTACTGGTTCGAACGCTGCGTCTAAAACCCATGCGACCAATTCTAACAGCCACAATCGACGAAAATCTCGTCGTGGCAGTGGAAAATGGCGGCAAGGCCCACCATGGGCCCAAGGTCAACAAAAAAGAGGCCATCCAAGGGAGGAAATTTGACCCAGAAGTGCCAACCCTTTGCCCTTAAGGCCTCAAACTTCAAAAACAAGGGAAAGGCTACCATTCAATTGGCTTCCACTGAACTAGACATGTGTTATCGCTGTGGATCAAATGATCATTGGTCACACGTATGCCGAGCTAGCCCGAGACTATTGCCAAGTATCATTCCCGTCATAAGTTTAACTTTACGCTTGTAGAACTTCCTAAAGATATTACTACAACTCTGAAGGTTTCAGATTTTCAGGAGGCATTCGCTCCTATGGAAGAATAAAGTTTTATTTTTCTAAGACATGTTAGGGTGTTTTATACCCTTAGTGGCCGAACCCACTAGGAGTGGCCGAACCCCCCCCCCCCCTAAATTTTTAGGTTTATGGTTTAATTTTCGAACAATTTTTCTAAGTCCTTGGAATTATTTGTTTGGTTTTGGTTTGTTTTGAATTATGGATAATTATTTAATGGAAAATATTTCTTGAATTGATTAATTAAATGAATGGAATTATATTTATGCCTGTAACCGATTCAATTAATTTATTTCTAGGTATGACTAGTGGGGAATTTAGTTGTCTGGCTGATAGTGCCACCACGCTCACCATATTGTGAGAAACACTATTTTACTAACTTCGTACCTAAAAATGCACTTCTGACAACCCTATCAGACCCATCCAACCTGATAGAAGGATATGGGAAGGCTCATATAATGTTGTCCAATGGTACTAAATTAACCATTAAAGAGGCAATCTATTTTCCACATCCCGGAAGAACGTTACTAATTTTTAGAGATATTCGAGATAATCAATATCATGTTGGAACCATTGAATAGAATGGTTCTGAATTTCTTTGTATCACTTCTTACGAATATGGCCAGAAGCGTATTCACGAGAAGCTGGAACGTCTCCCGAGTGGATTGTACATAACAACCATTCGCGCTATTAAGACCCATTACGCGGCTGGCCCTATAGCCGAATTCCAGACCACTTTGCTGCTTTGGCATGATCGAATGGGACACCCCAGACGAGATATGATGCGCTGTATCCTCAAAGCATCATATGGGCATCACTTGAAATCTTAGCTCGACCATCTGCTTTGCAAAGCATGTTCCCTGAGGAAGTTGAACATTTAACCCTCACTTACAAAGATTATTCACAACCCCCTTAAGTTTCTTCAGAGGATTAAAGGGGATATTTGTGGACCTATCCAACTAACATGTGGACCATTTAGATACTTAATGGTGTTAGTTGATGCATCGACGCGATGGTCACATGTCAATTTATTGTCCATACGCAATGCTGCATTTGTGAAACTCCTAGGACAAATTATTAAGCTTAGGGATCACTATCCAGATTATCCGATCAAGTGAATTCGTCTGGATAATGCTGGAGAGTTTACATCACATACCTTTGACGATTATTGCATGTCTGGTAGGATTGAAGTTGAACATCCTATACCCCATGTTCACACCCAAAACGGCCTGGTAGAAGCTTTCATAAAGCGTTTTCAAACGATAGCTTGAACTTTGGTTATGCGAACCAATTTGCTGGTATCTTCCTGGGGTCGTGCAAAATTGTACGTAGCTATGTTGGTCCCCTAAGGCCCACAATTACCCAACCTTATGTACCATTACAGTTGGTTATTAGATATGAGCCTAACATCTCACATTTATATGTGTTTGGGTGTGCAGCCTATGTGCCAATAGCGTGCCATTACGTACCAAAATAGGTCCTTAGAGAAAAATGATAATCTATATGGGTTATGATTCACCATCCATTATTCGCTACTTAGAGCCCTTGACAAGAGATCTCTTTACCGCATGTTTTGCAGATTGTCACTTCGATGAGACAGTCTTCCTGTCGTTAGGGGGAGATAACATCACTAATGTTCATGTAGAACATCGTGAATTGTCATGGAATACTCCCACTATGTCTCATTTAGATCCCCACACCCTTCAGCTTAAAATTGAAGTGTGACATATTCTAGATCTTCAAAGCATTGCTTAAAGCAAGCTTGATGATTTTACTTAACGTATGCCGTAACACTATCGTGGAAGGCTGGACCATCTAGGGTAGGGCGACTGTACCTCCCACACCACAAGGTACACTAGCGACTAGTCAATCACCTGCTCCAACCCTGAAGCGTGGCAGGCCTCCTGGTTCAAAGGATTCACGACCCCAGAATAGGAAAACGACACAAACTAGTGACCCAGTCTGAATCCGACCAGTTCTTACTCATTTGTTCCAACACATGAGGTTATTTTAGATTACGGTGATATTTTACATGAGACATACCGCCCTTCTGAAAATCACGAGATTTCGTTCCATTACGCAGTATTGGATGAGGTTTAGAATCAGAATAAGATGATTGTCGATGATACATTCGCGTATACCATTGCTTCCGACATTATGCTTAGAGATGATATTGAACCACGTTTCGTTGATGAATGTCAACGTAGAATGGATTGGTCAAACTGGAAACAAGCAATCCAGGTCGAACTTGATTTGTTCGCCAAATGTAAAGTGTTTAGGCCTATAGCTCCTACTCCAACACATGTGAAGCCTATGGGCTTTCGTGAGGAAACGTAATGAGAAGAATGAAATAATGAGATACAAAGCATGCCTCGTAGTGCAATGTTTCTCTCAACACCCTGGGATTGATTACAATGAGACATATTCCTCAGTATGGACGCCATAACATTTCGCAACCTTATAAGTTTGGTAGTTTCCAAAAAACTGAATATGCAGCTTATGGAAGTGGTAACCGCGTATCTGAATCAGGATCTAGATATGGAAATGTACATGAAAGTTCCAAAAGGACTTCCATTGACTGGTTCAAATAGTTCTAGACCATAGAACACTCTCTCGATTAGATTGAGGAGATCGCTTTACGAATTGAAACAATCCCGGCGGACGAGGTATAATCGTCTGAGTGAATATTTGACAAGTCAGGGTTATGTGAACAACAAACTATGCCTATGCGTGTTCATTAAGAAGTCACATTTCAGATTTGCAATCGTTGCAATTTATGTCGATGACATGAACCTCATCAGAACTCCCGCAAAGCTTGAGGAAATTGCCGCTCACTTGAAATCAGAATTTGAGATGAAATATCTTGTGAAAACTCAATATCATCTCGGCCTGGAGATCGAGCATTGTTCAGATAGAATTCTAGTACATTAATCGAACTACACCCAAAATGTGTTGTGACGTTTTAATGAGGATAAAGCGAAGCCTTCGAGTACTGTTATAGTCATTCGGACTCTAGATGTTAAACGAGATCCCTTCCGTCCAAAGGAGGATGAGGAAGAGATTTTGGAGCTTGAAGTTCCATACCTAAGTGCAATTGGTGCTTTATTGTACTAGGCTCAATGCACTAGACCTAACATCTCCTTTGCTGTTAATCTTTTAGCTAGATACAGCAATGCGCCTACGTGCAGACATTGGAATGGTGTAAAGACATTTTCCGTTACCTCAAGGTATGACATATTTGGGCTTGTTCTACACCTATGAATCCTCGAGAGGAGTCACCGTCCTCTTTGGTCCTTGGGTTGATTCTCACCTCGTTGGTTATGCATATGCTAGTTATATGTCTAAGCCACATAGGGCATGTTCTCAAGCAGGCTATTTCTTTACCGTTAGAGACACCGCTATATCTTGGAGGTTTACCAAGCAAACACTAGTTGCGACTTCTTCGAACCATGTTGAGATTCTCATTCTACATGAAGCATTGGGTGAGTGTTTTTGATTGAGAGCAGTCATGGAACATATTCGAAGAACTAGTGGTCTTTCTTCCGTCGTTGACCTTCCTACAACGATCTTTGAAGACAATGCAGCATGTATCGAGCAGTTAAAGAATGGATACATCAAGCGAAACAACACCAAGCACATTGCACTGAAGTTCTTTTATTCTCACCAGCAACAACAACATCAGAACATTGAAGTCAAGCAAATCCGTTCCCAAGACAACCTGGCTGATCTTTTCACCAAGTCATTGCCTAAGTCTACTTTTTAGAAGCTCGTCCAAAGAATCAATATGCGTGAATTATTTGAGTTGAATCGCTTGTAGTTATTTTATTTGGCAGTTATGTTTAACTCAGGAAGAGTATTCATAAGCATACTCACTTGATCTTAATGTACTATTTTTCTTACGATTAAGAGCATTTTTTTCTACTGAGTTTTTGCTACCTAATAAGGTTTTAACTAGGCACCCATCCTAGGATGATTATATTCCGTTGAGTTAACTACTTTCGCCCTATTTGACGTAGAGATGGGCAAATGGGTATAGGAACCGCGGGTAGGGATGGGTAATTCAGGTTCAGGGCAGGTACATGGTGGTTCCAATTTTTTGAGATTAGAAATGGGGCGGGGCGGGGCTGGTCGATAGTATTTAAGGGGTGGGCCAAGTCTTAGGATTTGGAATAACGGGGCCCCAGAAGGCCTGTTTCTTCGAAATCCCAATCCTTCATTTGCATCCAAAGCGTCGTCAAACAACCCACAATTTGCAAAGTGAAACCTTCTCATCGGAGGGCTAGGAATATACGGCGGATCAAAGATGAGTGAAATCACTAGGAATTTTTGCAAATCAATAACAGTACGAGCAAGGAATTGTTGTTTCTTCCTTTTTCGTTTTCCTTGTTGCACCGAGCTACAAATATTGGGTGCTTTGAGCAAACCTTCAATGCACAAATTAGGTCGGTGGAGGCTAGCGCTTAGTTGTCTTATTCCAAGACATATAAGCCACTCCACTTCAATTGGTCATCTTAAAATCAAATGGGCATCCTTGCTGAAATCACAACAAGCACCACCACTCTATAAATAACAACCGTCATCGTCGAGGTGAAAGTATTTCTTCTCAAGTGATAACGGAGAACACAAGTGGAGTCGGCAGTTGGTTGAGCATCACTACACCTCGTATCTTGGCATCCTTGCTGCTCGTTCCTCCTTATTTTCTGAAGTATCGGCTTAGGCGACCAAACGTTAAGAAAATTAGAAATTGTATGTCTATGGCTTCGGCCCGTGTGACTCATTCAACGGGTTGAAGTGTTGAGTTTGGGAAAAAATCACGCCGAGTGATCTCCTTGAATTCGTTCTTCACCAGGTCGAAAAGCTCCATATGGTGATGACGTGACGGGTGCGAATACGTGGAGACCTGGCGGAGTGACTCGCTGAACTATCACAGACTTGGTAGAGCCCAGACCTTCACTCGGTAAAACCAACTCAGCCAGCCACTGTGCTCAACCACCTTGACTCGCCTGGCCTTTTCTCTAATGAAAACTCATAGATATCCGTACTCAAGTCCTCGACCTCGCCTTGTCAGCATAAAATCCTATGGAAACGTCACAGTAGATCATCTT